GGGGGGAGGGGGGGGGGGCCGGGGGTGGCCGGCAGGGCCGCGTCCCCGTGGTGTCAGAGCTGAGCGGGGACGGGCCTGCGCGCAGAGCCGCCGCCGGCAGCGGGAGGGGTCTGCCGGGGCTTGGAGACCCCCAGGTCCCTGAGCCCCTGAGCGTGGAGTCCTCAGCAGCGTTCAGCGAGGGAGTTTACAGTGCTCTGCGGAATGAAAGGGACTCTAAATCTGTCAAACTACACCAAACAGCGCATCATACAGCAGCTCTGGGTACTGGACATGGGGTGCCGTGGCCGCCTCTGACAGTACATCCAATGGCTTACCTTTGTTTCTGAAGTGGCTTTCCATTCAACAGCATCTGGCTTATACTAACAGCATATTTTTATGCTTTGTGCTACAAAATTACAGGTGTGTGCAAGCCTGAAAGCCAGATAATGGGATCTTAGAGGTGCTACTCTGGTCTCTCAACATGTCAAAGCCTGGCGTTAACCTCATTCTTTGGTAAGGAGGGCTTGGGGCTGCTAAAGCCCATTGCTAGGCCTTCGCTCACGACGTGGGCGTCTTCTGCCCATTGCAGCTCTTGCTTCTACATGGAGCTGGCGTAGCCTGGTCCCGTTTGAGCACTTAATGAATCTTTGCAGCCAGGCTTCTGGATATGGATCCGTACGGGGGATTTGGTTGAAATAGCGCTTCACTCTTCAGAGTAACAGATCGTATTGGATAAACTGTCTCATGCTGAGAGATGAAAATAGCTTGTTCACAGAGCTGTGTCCCCCTGTGTAATGTGCTGCGGGAGAATGAAATTCCAATTACGGCCTTTAGTCTTGACTCTGCTTTGAGGGAGGAAGGCAGCAAACGGTTGGATTCCGAAGCAAGGTTCATTACTGGCTCCAAAGCCGACCTCAGCAGCCTGGAAATCAATTCAGGGGGTGAGCTTTAATGCATTAGCAGCCTTTTAACATCATTTCCTGCACAGGGCTTTGACAACATGATAAAATATTAATTTTAACTGCCAGTTTGCTGCCTTTAACAGGTAGCAACATCAACTGTAACCCAGACGGGAACACCAAGTTCATGGAAAACGGGGGGGCACTTAATGGGGTGGGTTGATACCTCAGCACGGATGCACCGCAGTGCAGAGTGCGAGTGCAGGGTAAAGAAATCGAGCTGACACCTAAATCTGTTGTGGGCAGATCAAAACAGTGCAAGAATTCATTTTCCCCCCCGGGAGCCCACGTTCTTCCCGCTCGCACAGCAGCTGAGCAGAGTTTCTCCCTCTGTGTCCCTTTCTCAAGAAAAGTCACAGCACCGGGGAAACACCTCTGAAAAGTGGTTGTTAAATATTGCAGGTAACCCCTTGGCTTCGGGCAGGGCACCGCCGGGCGGCTCTCGCTGGGGGGGATTTGCTTCCCGGCCTCGGTTACCTGCGAAAGCGGCGGTGAGACCGACAGGGGAACGCCCGCGTCCGCTGAAACAGCATTTTCCTCCGCAGCTGGCAAAGGTGTCTGGCCTGGAGGGTGCTCCCTGGAGGAGTGGCTGCTGCAGCCCCAGCAGTGGACTCCAGCTGGATGATGGAATTCCGGGGGGATTCTCCTCGCTCTGAGCTTCCCAAATCTCTCTGCCATGTGGCCTTGAAAGAGTCTCTTGCAGAAACAAACGCTGGCAATAAAACCTCTGAATTTGCAGGGAAACAGCGACTTGAGGGGACAGCGAGGGTGGAGCGGCCACGCTCCCCCATTTCAGAGGGGGAAAACGGTATTGCACCATTTCAAAGGGGAAAAAAAAGGCAAAAAGCTCTCCAAACCAAACGCGAAGGTCGCACCGGTTCCTTTTCAGATCCGGCACCAAAGGGGACCCCAGCCCACCCCAGCTTGGCCCGGGCTCCAGCCGTGGCTTGTCTCCCTGGCTGAGAGGGCGGCACCGCCGGGAGCCTGGGGCACGCGGCTCCGAACCAGGCCAGCGCCTTCGCCGGGGCAGGTCCCGCAGCCCTGCCCCGGGCCGGGGGCCCAGCCCTCCGCCTCCGGCTTCCAGCAGACACAACATCTGCGTCCCGAGTGCCCAAATGCAGCTGGTGGCAACAACGATGTCCCTAGATTCCCTATAAATAGCTTGAGAACTGAAAAGCAAAATCGCTTGAGAAGTGAAAACAAGAGGATGGTTTGGTTTCAGGGCTTTTAGGTTTTAGTTAGTCCTTTTTAGTGAAAACAGTGGTATTCATACACTTGGCAGAGTATCTAAACCAGCAGCAAGGACGAGAAGTGTAAGGAAACGAGAGCTGGAGGCACGCAGACCCCGCTGCTTCAGCTGGGCTCCCTCCTCCATCGGGTCCCCTCTGGGTTCTCCTTTCGACCCGGCGGCTCTGGGGCACCCTCAGCCGTTGGCTCCCCAGCAGGGTCCCAGCCCAGCGGGCCCCGCTGCAGGCAGGGAGCCGCGGCACAAGGCCGGGGACCCGTTCTGCCACCGGTGACAGGCGATGGAGGTGCCCTCTTCCTCCCGCGGGTGACGCATGGGACCGTGGAGCCGGGGTGGCAGCAGCTGAGGGCAGCCCCGCTGACAGGG